TTAGAATTTATTGATTTCATTTTCTCCTGATATGTTTGCCCCTCCCTGCACCTTGGATTTTTATTGACTCTCCCCTCCCCCACATTCTCTTCCCCTTCCTTACATTCCTTCCCCTTCACCTACCTTCTCTCCTCTCCCACATTTCCTCCCACCTACTCTCTCCCCTCACATTCTTCCATCCCCTATACCCTCTCCCCTGACACCCCCCTCCTCCCTCTCACTCGATTACTGTTACTGCACTAATTCCTACTCCCCTCCCTGAAGGTTCAGTGGTTCTCTCCCTGGTGGCTCTTCCTCCCCTCCTTCTCCCCATCTTCCTCCTTATCTTCCTCCTCTTCCTCCTCCTCATCTTCCTACCCCCTCCTCCTCCCCATCTTACCCATCATCTTCCTCCTTCCCATCTTCCTCCTCCTCCTCATGGCCGTCACCCCCGCCACAACTTGCCTCAGGACCCCGACGGGCGCCTCCAAAATAGTCTCTCGCTTGTCTCATTATTACATTCACAGTGTACAGGACTAAATGTCTCCCTCACACGCCATATGAACGATTTTCCGGGAAGGGGAGGACGTTGTTACCCAAATTGTCGTGTTGTGGCCGAGTTATATTAAATTATGTAGTTTCTTAAAAGGCAGGAGTCAGGTAATGGCCCCGTTCATGAATTTTTAAAATATATTCTTCATTGTTATATTGTATGAATTTTTAAAATATATTCTTCATTGTTATATTGTATGGGGGGGGGGGGGGTGTTTAGTTGGTTGTGGAAAGTCGGATGTTGATGTGGCTTAGAGATGTTCAGTAAGGTAATGTTATTTTGATGTGTGTGTGTGTGTGTGTGTGTGTGTGTGTGTGTGTGTGTGTGTGTGTGTGTGTGTGTGTGTGTGTGTGTGTGTGTGTGTGTGTGTGTGTGTGTGTGTGTGTGTGTGTGTGTGTGTGTGTGTGTGTGTGTGTGTGTGTGTGTGTGTGTGTGTGTGTGTGTGTGTGTGTGTGTGTGTGTGTGTGTGTGTGTGTGTGTGTGTGTGTGTGTGTGTGTGTGTGTGTGTGTGTGTGTGTGTGTGTGTGTGTGTGTGTGTGTGTGTGTGTGTGGACAGACAGACAGACATTCGTGATGGCTTATGGTTATTCTTAGAGCTGCCAGTATGACAGTGGAAGGGGGACTTGTGTTTGGGATTCATTTTACAAAAGTTTCGACAGTGACGACGAGCCTATAATATTTTTCCTTGTCAGTCTTATCAAACGTATCACACTACGCCTTGACTCAGACGAATCAGCGTCCCTCACCAGACTCACGACAAGACGACCATTGGGGAGTCGTCACGAGACACTCCTACCAGGGAAGATGATATGTTTTATTATGTGTTCAGCTGGTGCAGGGATCAATCTCGGTGTTATTAACTTCGATTAAATTTGTATATTATGGTGATGTTTTTTTTGTTTTGTTTTAATCGTATATGTATGATGTTTGCTCAGGTTCTCGTGTAAACTGTATTAGACATGTGGAGGCTCCAGCAGGACGCCAGGAAGGGACTACAACACCTCTGTATCTGGCTGAAGAAAGAAGAAAGAAAACGTCATTTAATATTTAAGGGATAACTCTCACGAAAGTTTGAACGTAGCTGCTCAATTCTACTTACCGAGTCAGTGCCAGTGGTATACCTGTCCCGGTGTTCAGGGCTATGCGGTGTTCAGGGCTATGCGGTGTTCAGGACTATGCGGTGTTCAGGTTGTGTGTCAGGACTCGGGTGGTGAATACCGTCGCGTCAAAAGAGAGTCAGTGTGATAGACAGTCCTGATCATTAGCTCAAGATGACGAGTTTTCAAGTAACATAATAGAAAGTATCAATATTGACGTTAAACAAACTTTTAAAAGGACTGTGTGGAGAGATGACTTGTGTGTGGTGGTGGGGGGGTCAGCTTGAGGGTAGGAACCTCAGTGCGAGTGTTAGTCACAAAACTTTCACCTTCACTCCGTCTGCCTGCATACAGTACACACGTCTTCTTTTCATCTGCCGCCGTACTTAACCTAAAGACTACAACTGGCCGTGTACATGAATATTACCTGCCGTCCCCCTTACTCCAGCAACCTGTGCACGTATATTAAATAGGAAAATAAAATACACCAAAGTCTTGCGGCTCAGTCCATTCCAGCGGCAGTATCCCTGGAAAGCCCTTCAGCCCAGGAAAGCCTGTGAAGTTATTTGACCATTTCGCTTTATCGACAGCCTGGAGCAATGGTACGTCTCGGAGAACACTTTACGCTCAAGGTAGACAGATGGCGGACATTGGTGGTGAAGTGTGGCAATAGTGGGCGGCCAGAGACACACACTCTTACATCTGCAGCTACGGAAGCCATGTCCACGTTCTCCTGGGGTCATTAAAAGTAGTGGTTTTGAACTTGACAGTTTAACTTTGTGATCTCACAGGCTGTGTCGTATTACAAGAGCACACCACATCTGGTGTCTTACAGCCAATCAGAAGCATCATCAGGCAGATATACCACCAATCAGGTGCATCACTACCCAACTGTATCCCCAGTTACATGCACCATCAGTCACATGCACCAAGAGTAGTGACACTGTCCGCAGCTACCCGCGCACAGCCTCCGTTGGCGAGAGAAATGGGCGGGGACTGGGCCAGTCAGGCGGCGAAGCGGGGAACGGAGGTTCATCTTCAAGTTGGAAATCGGAGACCATGCAAAACCCATCGAGGTGCCTGGCTCTCGCCCGCACACACGCTCCTGGTCCGTGTCCATTATTAATAAATCATCCAGACCTATACCGTAAGGGTGCCAGAACGAGGGAGTGTGACGCTTTAAGAGTCCGTCTACTGTACACGATTACGTCTGGTTTTACCGGCACCTCTCTTGTATGTGTAGTGGGAGTGTTACTGTTTACACTCATAAGGCGGGAAAGGATTTTGTTTTACTTGTGTTTGACAATTCTTATATTGAGGTGAGGAGAGTTAAGGAAACGAGAAAATATTTGTTGTTTGCACTTTTTTTAATTTTGTATTAATTCATTATACCGCATTTGTCAGTTGATGATATGAACACACACACACACATTATGTATTTATTTATTTTGTGGGAGGATTATTTCTACCTGTCTTTGCTTCCTTGTCCCTCTTGTATGTCTTGTACCATTCTCCATTATTTCCCTGGCTGTGTAGGGTTGTGTGTCCCTTGATCCTCCCTCACAAAAGCGGGAGTGGAAATAGGATGATAGAATGGATAGATTGATCACTAATATTTTAAACTGTGTACTAGTTGCTGGTGGGGCTTTGTACCGTTATAGTTAGCAAAGAAAGTTTACAAATTGACGCTGTTGAGGTGTTATTAGATATGGGAATGACTGTAAACATCGCCACTTGCCTTGACACTCATTACATCACCAGTGTTGTGTTGGGATGACACGAACACCTGAGGCCTGGTGCTGTGTTACTGCTTATTGTAGTAAGAAAGTTCATCTTTTTTCAGAAACTTAACGCTCGTGTAAACGGAACAATTTTGTTTATTTCATCTTTATAGGTAATATTTACCTCTTTACTGCCCTTCAGGTAGCAAACTACAGCACTACTTCACGATGGTGTGCAGCGTCCTCTCCAGGCTCACAGTACACTGGGATATATTAGACACGATGCATATTGAGGTGTGTAGCAGCAAGGTGTAGATCATTATACTCGGCAACACCACAGTGTCAAAAACAAATATTCTATCCCTTATGATACCTGGGAAGACTGGATAACAGACAACTGCATCTTTAACCGAGTGACGTGCAGACATGAACCTCGATCTGTACCATAAACCTTGCCGGTGTGTTTGTGCACCAGCGCTTCCTGCAGTTTATGGTCGATCTCAGCCAAATGTAGCATGCGTCCTCGGGCGGGGGCCCCCGGCCATTATTTTAAAGGGCTGTGGATTTCGGGGCGTGTATTTTTTTTTTTTTTTTATACTGATGTCAGCCACACTGGGAAATGTCCCATCAAGCCCCCTCGGGGAGCGTACCTAAAGAGGTTAGCATCAGCGCTTGCTCACACACACACACTGCTCACAAACCCTCCCTTCACACAGACACAGTGTTCATACTTCATACTCCATACAAATGCACATTGCTTGCTTACACACACACACACACACACACACACACAGGTTTATCCACTCTTATCACCAGAAGCCAATTAGTGGTTATAGTTTGAAACTCTTATGGCTCATTGTGTCCTGGTAGAGGGCTCACGTGCGTGATATTTGCTGTCCTGTACGAGAGGATAAATTAGTAATCTTTCTTTGACTGTCATTTTTTAAAGTTGTTCACAGATTAGACAGGAAAAATCATGTTTTAAGTTGTTTTATCTTTCTTCGCCACCAGTCCTTGACGCGACGGACACCAACACACGTCTTACAAGCTTTCCTCACCTTTCTTCTGGGTGTTTATCCAAAATCTTGTCTTAATGAGTCCAAGAAACCATCGAGGAGAAACTTGTATAAATCTTTTATACACGAAAACGTAAGATATTCATGTATGCTGTTTTTATATTTCAAACACTCCATGTATCACTGCGCGGCCGCGGGTCTACTGGTTCATATATAGTAGTGTCCACTTAACTTCCTGAAGCTCATGAGTGTCTCTTTCGTAACTTTTCCGAGATAACCCGTGGTATTCAGGGGAGCACCTTCCACTGTGGTCCTTGTTAAGTGAGAAGCTCCGTGCTGAGCAACTTGTCGGCTGCCTCGTGGCTGCACAATTCCCTGTGACCTGCAGATGTGCACTCAGGCTATATAAGGGGTTGAGCGGTGGAGTGAGTGAGTGTGGGGGGTGCACCTTCCCTTTGAACCCCTGTAATGACCCCTTCACGTTATCCAAGAGAGAAAGAGAGAGAGTCCATCCATATGCAGCATAAAAAATAAGAGAATTGGCTACAAGTAGATTCACCCAGTAAACGTTCACTTTTGACTATCAAGAGTTCGGGTTAGCTCGTCTGTTTTTCAGGAAGACGAGGCGCTGCTCTTAGGGGTCGTCTTGGTTGGTGTCGTCGTGGTCGGTGTCGCCGTTGTCGGTGTCGTCGTGGTTGGTGTCGTCGTTGTCGGTGTCATCGTGGTTGGTGTCGTCGTGGTTGGTGTCATCGTGGTTGGTGTCGTCGTTGTCGGTGTCATCGTGGTTGGTGTCGTCGTTGTCGGTGTCGTCGTGGTTGGTGTCGTCGTGGTCGGTGTCGTCGTGGCTGTTTGGTTTAGTTTTTGCATTCGCATCAGCTCACAGTGGTCTTGTTTTCTCCTCATTCCTCCATTATCATTCTTTTTTCTCTCTCCCATTCGTATTTTCTTTTTATTTCTCCTCCTTCAGTATTATTATTGTTTTACGAGAGGTTTCTGTTGATAGTGTCGTGCCTCATATGTACCAAGATCCTTATCCACACACACACACACACACACACACACAACGTAAACACCTAGAAAAAGTGCAAAAGAGGGCATGCAAGATTATTCTCTCCCCTTCCTACTCCACATATCAAGAAGCGCTCAACACACTGACCCTTTCGACTCTCACTGACCATCACCACGACCTCATCTGCAAATTTGGTAAGAAGCTTCTACACCATCCTCGACACCGGCTCCTACTACCACCTGAGATCCCTAGCCCGAGAATTGCTGTTCGACACCACAACCGCATCCAGCCCATACGTGCACGAACTGATCGCTATAAGAACAGCCCAGTCCCAACCATTGTAAAATTATCAATAACATGTAATAAATCAGTGTATTCACTCCCAGTAAACACTGCTCCTACACTGTCACTATGTTGAAATGAACTGTAGTTTGAGCTTTTCCCCATCTAGTTATTATATATCTTATTTGTATCACTTATGTTACTTGTATATTATTTGTAATTCGAAACCCATTCCCCAAATATGTAACTGTATATTTTCAGCCTTCTGGCTGCCAAGCTCTTTCAATAAACCGTTAATATAAATAAATAAATAAATAAATAAATAAATAAATAAATAAACAAACACACACACCAGAAATAGCTCCAAGGGGATGTTATAAATTTTGTGTCACATGAACATTATTACCTGTCTTAATTGGTTTATACCGTGTGTGTGTGTGTGTGTGTGTGTGTGTGTGTGTGTGCGTGTGTTCCTATACTGTATACTGGTTATTACAGGTTTGCTGTATATCATCAGGGTCGTGCTGGAATCCCTGTATTGTAATTGAACAAGTTAGTAATTCGTTCATGGCATTTTGAGCCCCGGGCTTAATGCAGCTGACCATGTTAAGTAGTTGGGAGTCTTTCGGTGCGTGGGAGGGAGTCTTTCGGTGCGTGGGAGGGAGTCTTTCAGTGCGTGGCAGGGAGTCTTTCGGTGCGTGGGTGGAGTCTTTCGGTGCGTGGCAGGGAGTCTTTCGGTGCGTGGGAGGGAGTCTTTCGGTGCGTGGGAGGGAGTCTTTCAGTGCGTGGGAGGAAGTCCATCTGTGGGTGGAGTCTTTCGGTGCGTGGGAGAGTCTTTCGGTGCGTGGGGGGGGAGTCTTTCAGTGCGTGGGAGGAGTCTTTTCGGTGCGTGGGAGGGAGTCTTTCGGTGCGTGGGTGGGAGTCTTTCGGTGCGTGGGTGGGAGTCTTTCAGTGCGTGGGAGGAGTCTTTCAGTGCGTGGGAGGAGTCTTTGGGTGGAGCTTCTGCGGCAGAGTCTGTGGGAGAGTCCGGTGCGTGGGTGGAGTCTTTCAGTGCGTGGAGAGTCTTCAGTGGGAGGAAGTCCATCTGTGGGTGGATTTTGTTATGTTGACACCGGCCAATGAAGGCAGAGGGGAGGCGAAGGTGGAGTTCTTCCTCTTGTCATATTACCATCTTCCTGAATTACTCCGTCAACCTCCTTAATGATAGATAATTATATTTACCTTTTACAGATAATAACTCCGACGCGAGAATGATGACGAGGTAGAGAAAAAGAAAGATGGCCGCTAAAGATGGCCGCTATAATACTCATAAACCTCAATGGCAGAAAATTATAATTACATGTCAGAAATATAACCCGACGCGAGGATAGTATATAATTATGGTAATTATAGTTTGAATCGAGTTTTTTTTTTGTCATTATAGAGGTGAAAGATGATTATATACCTTTCAGAAATAACCCGGCTGGATATAATGATAATTTGGTAAAAAGAAAATGGATTATAGACAATTTGACACAAGTGAGTGGCGAATACTTTGAGGGTGTTGTGGTGGCGAATTGGTGGATGTTGAACAAGTGAGTGGCGAATTGATTGATGGTGAGTGATGGCGAATACTTTGAGGTGAATTTGTAGTGGCGATTGGTGGATGTTGAACAAGTGGTGGCGTTGATGGATGGTGAACTAGTGGTGGCGAATTGATGGATGGTGGTGAGTGGCGAATTGATGGATGTTGAACTAGTGAGTGGCGATTTGATGGATGGTGAACTAGTGGTGGCAAATTGATGGATGGTGAACTGTGAGTGGCGAATTGATGGATGTTGAACTAGTGAGTGCGAATACTTTGAGGGTGAATTTGTGAGTGGCAGGTGGTGGATGTTGAACAAGTGAGTGGCGAATACTTTGAGGGTGGTGTGAGTGGTGGTGGATGTTGAACAAGTGAGTGGCGATTTGATGGATGGTGAACTAGTGGTGGCGAATTGATGGATGGTGAACGTGTGGTGGCGGATTGATTGATGGTGAACTAGTGAGTGGCGAATTGATGGATGGTGAACGTGTGAGTGGCGAATTGATGGATGTTGAACTAGTGAGTGGCGAATACTTTGATGGTGGATTTGTGAGTGGCGAATTGATGGATGGCGAACCAGTGAGTGGCGAATACTTTGATGGCTGGTGAACTAGTGAGTGGCGAATTGATGGATGGCGAACTAGTGAGTGGCGAACTTGTCGAACCGAGCAAGATAAGAGAGAAAGATGGATGTGGGAGTGAATACAGAAGTGTTGTCGGCTGGCTGGCGCAGGTTATCCATCATGCTGCCACGCCTCCCCACTTCACCTCACCCACGCCTCCTCCTACCACCTCACCCGCCTCCTCACTACTCACCCACGCCTCCTGACTTCCACCTCACCCACGCACCCCTCACTCCCACCTCACCCACGCCTCCCACACCACCTCACCCACCCTCCCTCACTACCACCTCACCCACCCCCTCCCCACCACCTCACCCACCCCTCACACCACCTCGCCCACGCCTCCCCTCACTACCACCTCACCCACGCCTCCCCCACTACCACCCCACCCGCCTCCCTCCTACCACCTCACCCCACACCTCCCTCCCACCTCCCACCCCCTTCCCTCACTACCCACCCTCCTCCCCTACCACCTCACCCACGCCTCCCTCACTACCCACCTCACCCACGCCTCCCTCACTACCACCTCACCCACGCACTCCTCACCACCACCCACCACACTCCCTCACACACCCTCACCCCGCCTCCTCACACCCCCACCTCCCTCACTTCCACCTCACCCACGCCTCCCACACCACCACCCCCGCCTCCTCACTACCACCTCGCCCGCCTCCCTCCCACCCACCCACCCTCCCTCACTACCACCCCTCACCCACGCCCCCCACTCCCCTCACCCACGCCTCCTCCTACCACCTCACCCACGCACTCCCTCACTCACCACCTCACGCACTCCCTCACTACCACCTCACCCACGCCTCCCTCACTACCACCTCACCACGCCTCCTCACCACCTCCCCACGCCTCCTCACTACCACCTCACCCACGCCTCCCTCCCACCACCTCACCCACGCCTCCCTCACCACCACCTCACCCACGCCTCCCTCACTACCACCTCACCCACGCTCCCTCACTACCACCTCACCCCGCCCCCTCCTCCACCTCACCCCCTCCCTCACTACCACCTCACCCACGCCTCCCTCACTACCACCCCTCACCCACGCCTCCCTCACTACCACCTCACCCACGCCTCCCTCCTACCACCCACCCGCCTCCCTCACTACCACCTCACCCTGCCTCCCCTCACTACCACCCTCACCCACGCCTCCCTCACTACCACCTCGCCCACGCCTCCCTCACTACCACCTCACCACGCCTCCCCTCCACCACCCCTCACCCACGCACTCCCCACTACCACCCTCACCCACGCCCCCACACCACCCACCACACCACCCCACCCACGCCTCCCTCACACCACCCACCCACGCCTCCCTCACACCACCCACCCACCCCCCACCCACCTCACCCACGCACTCCCTCACTCCACCTCACCCACGCCTCCTCACTACCACCTCACCCACGCACTCCCTCACTACCACCTCACCCACGCCTCCTCACTACCACCTCACCCGCCTCCCTCACTACCACCTCACCCACGCACCTCCCTCCTACCACCTCACACGCCTCCCTCACTACCACCTCACCCACGCCTCCTCACTACCACCTCGCCCACGCCTCCTCACTACCACCTCACCCACGCCTCCCTCACTACCACCTCACCCACGCACTCACATCATCACCAGCCCGTCCACTCCCACTATGTACTCCGGGTTTGATTCAACACACTTTACACTCGGTCTCAATGGACGCACTCTGTACTCCCACTCTCTCGTCATAACCTTTTTTGCTTCACTTGTTGAAAACATTTTCCTATCACACTTGCAAACGAACACAATTTACACCCACACACTATTTGATCAAACTTTGTACTAACTTTATTGAACATACTCTCCGTTCACTCTCTACTGAACACACTCTTCGTTCACTCTCTACTGAACACACTCTTCGTTCACTCTCTACTGAACACACTCTTCGTTCATTCTCTCTACTGAACACACTCTTCGTTCACTCTCTACTGAACACACTCTCCGTTCATTCTCTCTACTGAACACACTCTTCGTTCACTCTCTACTGAACACAGTCCCTTAATTGTTACAGGGAGACTAGGCCATGGGCGCCCCGCGACGGTCACAGGTATGAAAACAAAATAGTTGAGGATAAACAAGGTCTCTCTACTGTGAGTTTGCCTCCTATGTTGTGCTCAGTGAATGTATCCAAGTAAGGTAGAGTCTCAGTGTAATTTAGGAACCATTTTGGATTTTTTTTTTGGCTTAGGTCAGTAAGTGTGGTAGGTTCTTACGTCTCTACTCTCGAAGAATATTCATCGTCCGAGCCAATAAAAGTACAGACCCTGATTCAGAGTCATGAGCCTGAGACAAGGACCTCGTGTGTGTGTGTGTGTGTGTTTTA